GCGCCAGGGTCAACTACCCATTCTGAACTGTTCTCCACCAGATTAACTTCTGAGACCACCGCATCAATGATCTCATCATCTTCTTCTACAACGTGCATCTGCGGCTTGTTATCATTCTGGCGGTCTGATCGGTGTTGGCATTGGTAAGTTTTGTGGCCGGGTAAACCGCATACATAACACTTGAACGACTTTCCTTCCGGTTTGGCCTTTCCTGACTTCTTGAAGTTGGTAGCCTTCTGTGGTTTCGTTTTCTTATCTTGATTCTCACGTTTCATGATCTTCTTAAATTTAGACTCAACCAAGTTAGATTTAAAAGATAAATTACTCATAGAATTAATAAGCTTATCTTTTGAACGGTTAGCTTCTTCAATCTTCATATGGCCCACAAGTTCTTCAAGCGAAATGTCTCTCTTCTTATGCTTAAGAGAGTTGCGGTAGTCAGACCATGACTTGGGCAACTTCTCAATGAGTACATTGGTTTGCAGCACCTCACACATTTGCATCCCTTTAGCGATGATGTCAGCTACTAAGTTCTCATAGTCATGGACTTGATCCATTATTGGTTTGTCGTATGTCATCTGGAATTTGAGCCATTCGCCAACAACGTACTTCTTGATGCCCGCATCGTCCGCACCATACTTTTTGTCGAGAGTGTCCCATATTGCCTTAGCACTCCTTTCTCTAAGGAACATATCAAATAGTTTATTTGACATGTGGCTGAGCAGATGTCCTCGCACCGTCTTGTTGTCTTTCTTGTATTTCTCGTAGGTAGCGAGAGCGGCGGCGACGGTTGCTAAGGCATCATCATTGAGGACCACATCCACATCATTACCGGCAGCTGGGGTTGGCGGCATGGTAGGTGGTGGCTTGAACATCACGTAGTCAAGATCAAGCTGCTCGAAGAATATCAGGATTCTTTAGGACCACCTTCTATAATTCTTTCCATCAAGTGCATCGAGATTGGAAAGATCGAGGATTAGTTTGCTCAAAGGTGTTGTCATGATTGCAGTATATGAATTTCGTTTCTAAATTGTTGGATATATGAACTGCAAAACTACACCGTTAGCATTGACTGGAAATATAAACAGTAATTAAAAGGAACAAATTCATAAATCGTGTCGTGGTAAAAACCACTGCCTTAGAAATGAATTCGCCCCGATGTGTGTAATCGCTGCAGTAGGCGGATTGTCCCCCGAGGTTAACACGGTCGCTCCGAATTCCGTACACCTAGGGATGGCAAACGGGCGGGTCGGGTGCGGATACCCCCTCCTCTATCCCCATACCCACCTAATATTTTTCAATCCACCACCCGCCCACCACCCATGATGGGTACAAATTTTCAAATTCACACCCGCCCACATGGGTATATTTTCAAATCCATCCCCACACCCACTACCCACTAGCGACATACCCATCTACACTCGCCTGACAACAAACTAATGGGATGTTGGAGTTGGTTCCCAAACAGTTCGTGATGGGGTAGCAACGCATGCTTCAATTTGTCAGAGGAGTGGCTCTACGAATGTTATAGAGACAGATTGTAGGGAGCATGTAGTCGCAGAGCTGGATAGTTGAGTTGCTTTCGATGTTAATGCTCATAGTGCGCCTAATATGAGTTTTGAGGGGCTAAAGAACATGGAAACTGTTGCTTTTGATGTCAATGCTTATAGTACGGCTAATTTGTGTTTGTATGGGCAACATGGGCTAAAGAACATGGAAAGTGACGTGGTTATTGAGATTATGGGTTTAATTAAAGAGCCGAATATTTCCCTAATTAAAGACCAGATTAAAGACTAAATATCATTAATATTTGGTTAAATTATATGTTATATATTATACAATATTAAAATTTATAAATTAGTCTCTAAAATTACACCTAAATTCATTATGGTCCAAAATTTAATAAATATTTAATTGGGCGGGCGGATGCAGGGCGGGTGGATGCGGGGCGGGTAATGTCTCAAACCCATTACCCGCCCACCTCCCACGACGGGTACCACTTTATAAATCCACATCCGCCCACTACCCGCTAAAATTATACCCATCCCCGCTCCAATTGGAGCGGATGCGGTGCGGAATCCACGAAATTGTACCCGTTTGCCATCCCTACGTACACCTGAAACCGGAGTGGACTGCTGGTGGTATTGCTCTTCTGATTGGAAAGCACTCAGAGAGAACTCACAGAGAGAATTGTAGAAAACACTTTTGTAAGTGAATTGTGAATGTTTGAGAGTGAGTTAAGAAGCTGAATATAACCCTCTATTTATAGGCTAGAAATAGGGTTAAAATCGTCCATAAAATTTTAGGATTAAATCTCTTCTTTTGTAACAGCTGAAACGTCTAGATGAACCTGACTCAAAAATAGTCCAGGTTCATTGCATCATTGTTCAGCTGTTATAACTCCCGAAATTATATCATGTAACCCATGGAATTAAATCAAATAACTCCTGTAACTCCTGATATTAACAGTTTGTCTCCTCTGTACAAAGCTGGAAATCAATCCAGATACATCTTAACGTTTTTTATTTAATTTAGGAAAAGCTGTTTAATTTCTCATAAACCAGCTGTTATCATTTGAAGTTAAACAGTCCTCAGCAGCCTATAAATATCAGTTGAAATCTTTCACATTTTTCTATTTGTTTCTTTCAAAGATAAATTCCTCAAGAATTTTTTCTAAAAAGATAGTATCTGCGCGGACGTGTCGAAGACACATATTACCACGACCACGACCACGACCACGAGCACGAGCCGAGCCGAGCCGAGCCGAGACGGACGGACGGCGGCGGTGCGCGAGAGTCCCCCTTGTTCTCTATCACTCAACAAGGAAGTGGGAAAGCCAAGCCTTAAATACTATTTCAATAGTGTTTCCAATACTATGTGGGATTGAGCATTACCAACAATATTTGGTAGGTTTCTTTAGCTCTTTAGGGAAAAGTAACTGATGTTATGTCTTTACTATCCCTCATCTTAAACTAGCATATGGAATTACCATTGTAAGTGACTTTTTCCTAAGCTCATGTGGGATTTTAATGTGCGGACATTCGGATCAAGTGGATAGTACAATGTCCCTCTAAGAAAAATACTTAGAAAAGATTTATGTCATGTAGACCCCATATTATGCTCTTGGTTTAGAAGTGAGATTCAATTCTAGCTTTTGCTAAGTCTTGCTAGATCTCCTATTTAAGAATATTTGTGGTTTCAGAATCATACTGTAACTTGTGGATTGTTATATGATTTAACTATTTGGACGGATTACTTTGGATTTAACAAAAGAATCGAGGGAATGTATCTTATCAAGCATTGTATGGTTTTATGATTGGGTAAATCATGATATTAAGAGTAAGATTAATTTATTTGGGAAACATTTCATTCAAATGATATACGACATAGCAACCGTTTCAAGATATTATATATGTGATACAAAACATTTATATATTTCATGACTTTGGTTCAGACGTATTTTATCATATAAATTCAATTAATGTAATTAGATGTTTAGAAGTTGTAATAATTTCATTTTGAACAATTTTTATCCGAGGGGAAATGAGAATTTTACCCTTAATGAGTATTGAACTTACATTCTAAAGAAAAATTGAGATGTCAACTGAAAATTTTTAACCATCTATACTAAAATTTGTTATAGAAATTAAAATAATTTAAATATTAATGTATAAAAGAGATTACAGACCACAAAATCATATTAAATGAAAAAAAAAGTCAAATTTATGAACCACACGATTATATTATAAGAAATTTATGATCATATATCAACCAATATTTTAAAATGTAATTAACATTTATGAAAATAGTATTCGTATTAGTTTCTTTGGGTTTGATTTTTTAAATTATATTTTAAACGTGTGTTTATATTTAATAAAATGATATTTTATGTGAGAATTGAAATAATTAAAATGGAATTAAAGCTAACTCGGCTTTGGGTAATGAAATAAATGGGCATCAGAGAGGCGCGAAGGGTCAAATCAAGAGGCAGGGACAAGAAAAGGAAGAAAATGGGTGGCGTTTGTTTCATTTACTTTTATGTAAACAACGTGGAAACATTAAAGCCAACTTGCATTCCAGCTTGCTTAAACAACACATATAATAGACATTATACTTAACAAATAGGCCACGACTAACATCAACTTGCATTCATTTTCTACATCAACTTGGAGCTTTTAAAATTTCTAATTAAACTTGCAATTTGCGTTCATTCCTCTTCTCTCTGGAAACGTCTAGCTCTTTTCTTCTTACACGCATGTATACATTTTGATACTTAAATTTAACATTACTATTTTATTATTTAATTTGATTTCATGATTCAAATAAACTATTTATTGTAAATATTATTATAAAATAAAAAATAAATTTAAATGTCATATTCTAAAAAGTCTTAATCACTGTGTAGTTTATACAACATAAAAATATATTGGAAAAAGTGGGGAAATTAGATATGCTTGAGCAAGTCATCTAATTTCTATGGAGAAAACAAGTGCATTATGTGTTGATGATTACTTTATTATATTGAAAAATATTAACTCAATCAATACGTCGTTCTTATTATAATACATATGAAAATGTGACTTTAAATATATTAAAACGTATTCACTTCAATATATATATATATATATATATATAATTAAAAATTTAATAATTTGGAATTTGCATAAAAGAAACTTTCATTGAATGTTGATCAATGCATTGCTGTGATGTATAAATTATATTATCCATTTGGTGAATATTTCAATGTACATATCACACTCGCCAAATGATTCAGGTCATTTGTAATATATAATGTGAATGATCTTGGGTGAAATATTTGTTCTATGGTAGATAAGGTAGGATAAATGACTAATGTCTCACTTTTATTCAAAAAATAAAGAGAAAAGTCACACGAAGATATCGCAGCATTTTAAAGAAGAAAATTCAAGTTCAAACATTAAAAATTAAACCCTAACATAAAAAATAAGAGGAATCAAGGACACAGAAAGAAGATAATGTAGGCAGAATTCACAAGATTAATTACTATAGCTTTTGTGAAACACATTCATAATATATTAGAGGGAAAAAAGAAAAGAAAATGGTCGAAGCTAGAATCTTCAACTTCACCGAGGCCTCTATTTGATCTATGAATTCCCACTTCGAAAATGAAAAAAGGGTTAAAGAGAACAGATTTAATGATTAAGGGATGACGGGTTTTCTGTTTTAGTCATATTTGCAGCCATTTGAGCCAAAGATTGAAGGTTGCAACGTACAATTGTATCGACAAAACTACACGTATCCTCTCTAGTATTACCCGGCGGTACATCGACGACGAATGATTCCACGGCAACCGTGCCTTTACCATCCGGAGAAGCATGTAAGGTTGTGACCGACCTGTAGTTTCTCAACCGATGATCGCCTCCCACCACGCTAAAGCTAAGCACGTGACGTTCATCGTCAAGGATCTCGAGTCTTTCCGTGCTGGAGCCTGCTGGGAGGCCGGATACCACGTGGACTTCACGAAGACTACCCACGTTTCCGTCGCCGACGATCACGTCGCAGCTCTTGAGGAAATTTTTGTAAGCTTGGGGGTTATCAAAGCGACGAACGAAAGACCAAACTGTCTCCACGGGGGCTTCGATGGCTTGGACCACCGCCGAACAACACTGGTTCGGTCTCAGGGTGTGGACATGGTACGAAGAGACCGTTTCCGGCAGCAAGACACCGTGAGGAAGAGGGAGACACCGCGTGAGTGTGGCGGTGGGTATGGGTTGAGCTGGTTGTTTGTGGTAGCAGCCACTGGTAAAGGTGGTGGTGGAGCGATGAAGGTGCAAGGAGGAAGGCATGGTGTTTTGTGGGTTAGCTAAGGAGGTGATGAATATTGTGGGTTTGGATTAGAAAATATAAAAGAAGAAATCGTCTTCAATTAGATTTAGAATAGTTTTCATTTTTCATATGCAAATGCAACAACTTACGCTGCAAGTGGATGGCCAAGTTGCACATCTTTTGGACTTATTTATTGTAAGATTATCCAATTATTTTATACAAACTACAACATTGCCACTTTCTCTCTTAATTTATTCATTTCTTTTTCTTTTTCCCTAATAATTAATACTACAGTTATAAATGTAAAGGTTTTGAAGCTTTCATTATTATTTCTTTTTCTTCACGGTATAGTCTAAATTTAAAAATAATTTTAATATTTTAAACCTAGTTTTCTTTTTCTTTTTTCTTGTGTAGTTATTAATCTTTTGTTTTTTTACCTTTGTAACTGTCGATGATATTAACTTTAGTATTGGTTATCGATAGTTAATATTCATTATTTTTTATTTTATTATATTGTATATTTGTTTTTAATTTTTTTAAATTTTTTTAATAATTCAACCTTTATGTCACGTTTCTTTTATTTTTTAGCACGTTTTTTTTATAGTTTAATAGTTATTTATGTTTATCTTTTTTCTTATGACTAAATTTGACATCATCACGACTGATCAAGGGGACACTCATTTATTATCATGTTGATCTTCCATGCTTTGGATCCTCGGATTGGATTTGGATACGCTATTTGTGTTCGTGTGTAGTTTTCTCACATTGCTCGATTCTGAGTCGAGATTTATCGATGGTATTTCAATAACTTGATTCCCTTTTGTGGTTCATTTGTTGATGCAATCATATATATTGGTATATACCTTTTATTTGAGTTTATTTAGTTGGGTTTTAAACCTTTTCCTTATATGGCTATGCGATTTTAAATGACTATTTTCTTGTGTTAATGATTATAAAAAAATGTTCATGTGTTTTAGTTTACTATTGTGGTTATAAACTTTTATTATAATTTAGATATTTTTTATTTTTAATAAAACTAGCGATTTTTATCTTGTAAAAAAAAATTAAAAATATTTTATATCTATTAAATATTCTTGAAATAAAAACTAACCTAAAATAAGTCCTAAAGACAAAATTGGTAGATTTGTTTGTATATTTAGAAAACAAAAATATTTCACTATCTAAAGCTTGACCTCCAACCATAAACAACTTAAAATATCTTATTATTATTAGTAGTAGTAGTATAATAGAGGAATTAAAATCAAAATTTATCCTTTTAATAACATGGTAAGTATCCATGCTGCGAATCACAATTGTCAAAATTAAATTTTTGTAACTAAATTCTTTAATTAATCTTTTCAACTTTAACCATCAAATAATGGGATTTGTTATGATAATTGGTAATATGTTGGTCAAAGAATAGAAGATTTGTTAATACATTGGTTGGATTAAGTTACATGACACAAATATTATTTCAAACTCTGTTGATGTTTTGTTTTGAACAATACTAATAAAGGAGATGGAATGATAAGCATCTGTTTTTTTTACGAGGTTGTCAAGATTCAGGGTTTTGTCTATATGGTTTCTCGTCTCTGTTTTGAAACATAAATCCATGGGTCTGTCTGAAAATCCCTAGTGTTGGTGAAGAAATGGGGTCAACCACGCATAATGCAATGGACACTCCCCCTGCAGTTTGTGTTCATTTGAATAAAACCCAGCGCTACAATGCCATCTTCTGGAAGCCAAACCATTCAGACGCCGTCCTTTCCACCTTAATGCTTCAAATAATCTTGTCTGTCGTCGTTACTCGGACTCTCCATGTTATTCTCAGACCATTAAAGCAATCTAAAATTGTGTGTAGTATCTTGGTAAGTTTCTATTTTCCTGATGCTGTTTGTTCTGCTTTATCCTTAACATACACAGTCATGGAAAGTCTCATCCTTTGTTTCGTTGTTTTACAGGCCGGAGTGATCCTCGGACCTTCGGTTCTCGGACGGAACAAAGCATACAGTGATAAAATGTTTGGATCGAAAGAGCTGCTGCTGTTTTACACCGTGTCAACCCTGGCAGCATACTTGTATGTCTTCGTCGCATGTATCAAAATGGATGTAGCAATGATAAACAGAGCAGCCCCACATACTCGGAAACTCTCCCTGTTTTGTCTAATTCTTCCTTTTACATTCGTTGTGTTATTAACGAATGGGATAGGAAAATTTATGCCCGGAAGAGGTGCCGGTAATGGCTTGCCGATCCATTTCTGTTTCGTTTATTCGATAAGTTACTTCATTGTTGTTACTCAAGCCCTGGACGAACTCAATCTCTTAAGTTCCGAGTTAGGACAACTGTCTTCATCTATCACGATGATCAACGAATTCGTCTCCGGCGTCTTTATAATTATCGGAGTTGCTACGGAGCAGAAAGGAACGAGAAATGCGATTTATTGTGCCCTTTCTTTTTGTTCATTAATTCCAGTTGCGGTCTTTTTTGTACGACCGATATTTCGTCGGATTATCAACAGAACGCCGAAAGGGAAACCAGTGGAGGAACGTTATGTTATAGCCGTAATACTTATGACATTCATCATGGGATTCATCACCGACTTTATAGGAGCATCCTGTGGTACTGCATTTATGATCATGGGATTCACAGTACCGGACGGACCACCTCTAGGAATGGCGATTGTACGGAAATGCGAACTGATTGTCTTCGATGTTTTACTGCCATTGTTCTTCTTTCGAATTGGTTATCACACTGATTTGTCAGCGATACGAAATTGGAAGGAGTTAGTGATCTTTGGATCACTAGTTGTGGTGGAGTACTTGGGAAGGCTAATAGCATGTCTCTTGTTTTCCTCCTCTTTGAAGATGAAGGAACGTAAAGCTGTCTTGCTTAGCCTTATTTTAAGTTTACAGGGCGTTGTTCAACTATTTCAATCCATTCGCTGGCAACAACAAAAGCTCATAGATGACCAGACATATACAACAATTGTGATGGGCATCGTTGTCGTGAATGCCATTATAACCCCGTTAATAGAGGTTTTTTTACAAGCCAGTGGTCCAAGATTTCGATTCGTCTAGCACCGTGAGACACCGCAGTAGGTCACTCGGGATGACTTATATCATTGGAGAGTTTCGGATCATTACTTGCATCCAAGATGAAGAAAACGTCCCTAGCATCATTAACTTTCTCGAAACAATGAACCCAAAGACGGTAGTCCCGTCTGCGCCTACATCATCCATCTGCTTGCGATCTCCAGCAAAAGTGTTCCAACATTAGCCCCTTACAAGAATCACTTGAAAATGATTAAATATCCGAGCAGCTCGGATAACATCATTCGAGCATTTCTCAACTACGCAGAGCGATCAAAGGGTCCGGTTCTAATCGAGCCCTTCACAATGATTTCACCCTATAAGTACATGCATGAAACCATTTGCAGGTTTGGTGAAAAGATACATGCACCACTTATTATAGTGCCGTTTTTCAATTCGGAAGAAGCTCATGGCATCGATGGCACCCTGCGGATTTTCAACACTAACATCCAAGCCTTTGCAAAGTGCACGGTCGGTCTTCTAGTGGATAGAGGGTTGCGGAGCACTGTTAATTCGACTACCTTCTCTTACAACATGGCGGTGATCTTCCTCGGGGGAGCCGACGACTGTGAGGCTTTAGCTTTGGCAACTCGTGCTTCGCGTCATTCTAATGTTACAATCACCGTCTCGAGGATCAATATGAAAGGGAATTATACTACATTGGGAGATAAAATGCAGAGAGAGGTAGACAACACCCTTTTTAGAAATTTCAAGGCTATGAGCGTCAACAATGGTAATGTTGTTTATCATGAGTTGGTGGCAGATGGGATTGAGGATTTAATGAAATCACTTCGACGTTTAACAAATGTGTGTGATCTGGTGGTGGTCGGAAAGCGGCACCAGATACCGGAACTAGAAGCATTGCTGAGTTGGGCAAAGTATCCAGAACTTGGGGTAATCGGAGATACAATAGCTGCACCGGACTTCGTCGGGGGAAGGATGTCGGTATTAGTGTTAAAACATCATAGCAGTGAAAACCAATGGAGACACTTCTAGTGGACGTCACAAACTAATCAATGGGATTATTCCATTATTAAATTAATTTATTTATGTTGTCGATATTTTTGTATCCCCATAAACTTGTAATTTTTTTTACTATAATTTAATCTTTTTAAAATAGGGTTGAAGTTAACTTTTTTTTTATTAAAAGGTAATATAAACAAAATTTTATTAACTGCAAATTTCACAAGTTTAGAAATCAAAAGAAGAATTTTATGGAAATAAGGGATAAAAATAATTTTCCAATTTTATTAATCGAAAACTGCATAGTTTTAAGGAGAAAAAAGAGGACCACGAACCCTAATGTCACCCTGCTCTAGAAGTGTATGATTCACCCTTCTTACTCCCAACCCTCGCATCTGCCTTTCTATCTTGCCTCGTGCAACAAACATGGGACCTTGCACACTAGCCATCAACTAATCAGCAGTCTATGTATTTTTCATATTCGTGTCGGGATTGTATTGCCTCCACGTATGCCATTTCTAGCTGACGTATCAATATATCGTATTTTCTCAAATAAAATAAAATAAAATAAAATATTCTACTTAAGAGCTATTTTAATATCAATTTTTTAAAATAATTTAATATTCTACTTAAATTTAATTCAACACCAATTTTCAAATTCAGGATTAACTCAAAATATAATCAAATAAATTAAGCTCAAATTATCTAGTATTAATATCCAAATATTGATATTAATAATCAATGAATGATATTGTGCCATATAAACATGTATTGATATTCTATATAAAATACCTAAATTTTTTCTCGGCATTCAAAGGATATCAATGGGAAATCACCCTAACATGACTCAAATCTATCTGTATAACTCTAAATTTCTTCTTGATATGTAAAGGGTATCAATATTGTAATAATAATACCGTTACAAAGTACAAAAATAATTATAAACAATCAATTAGTCTGGTGGAATGAGATACTAAATTTCTTAAGTAATTGTTAGAGATTCAAATTCTGGCGATTGTGAATAAAGGAAACTAGGTTGAGAGGTCACCCTCACCTCTATAATACCCGATCCGAATTATCTGAATGATAAATAAAAAACCAATAATTATACTAAAAAAATATAAAAATAATTTCCTAAAATCTGAAAAATTACCTCTTCCCAATACAAAATCCTCTAAAAGCCTAAATATATAATTAATATATTAAATGTTTCAAAAGAAATTGCATATACTATTAAATTAATAATAATCCTCAATATATTACCGATATATTTTATGTAGGAATATATGTTTAATTAGTTATATAAAATTTAATTTAATTTAAAATATTCAGTTGATAACATTATAAAGTTAAGGGATAAAATAATCTAAAAACTGATATTTTGATGGGAATGTAACATTATCTAAGAATTAAAAAACAATGAGATTACTTTCTATATTCTCAAACAATGTCAAATATTGAGATTCTTATATTATCACCATCAAATAATATCATTAAATATTAATAATTAGTTAGTTTAGTGAGATGATATATTAGATCCTTTAAGTAAGGTCAAAGTTTAAATCATGACGTTTGCAAATGGAACAAACTAGGTTGGAGTGGTCGTCATTGTCTTTGCAGTACTTGATCCAAATTAGTCAATTAATAAATTAAAAATCGGTGATTATATTAAAAAAATTGTTACTAAACCATATAATATAATTTTATCTCGTAATGTTACATAATCGGAGGATAATTAATTACCCAAACCAAACATACTTTCAGGGTTAAATTGCTTAGTGGGAAAAATCAAAGTTAAAAGTTAGGGTTTATTTATGTATATAAAGAAACGTTATGTTCGGTATACGCGGTCTTTTCTCCGTTTTCGTTGATGGCGTTTGCGGCCTTTGTTATACGACCAATATTACGTCGAATTATCAAGAGTACACCAAAGGGGAAACCAGTGAAGGAATCTTGTGTTATAGCAGTAGTTCTTGTGACTTTTACAATGGGAGTCATCACTGACGCTATAGGAGGATCCGTCGGTCCTGCAGCTATTATCATGGGATTGGTAATACCCGACGGACCGCCTCTCGGGGACACGATCGTGCGCAAATGCAAACTCATTCTCTTCGAGTTTTTCATGCCATTATTCTTCGTTCGAATTGGATATTTCACGGATTTGACAACGATAGAGGATTGGAGGGAGTTTTTGATGTTTGGAGTAATCATTGTTGTGCGGTGCTTAGGAGGGATAGTTGCCTGTATCTTGGTTTACTCCTCAATGAGCATGACAACAACTAATGCCGTCTTCCTTGGCCTTATTTTGAGTTTAGAGGGTATTGTTGAAGTAGTTCAATCCCTTCGATGGAAATATCTACAGGTCAGATTTTCTTTTCATAGTTTAAATTGATTTCTAAACCTCAAAATTTTCGTATCAATCAAGTATGTTATCCTTACCATTAGTCGGTCTGGTGATGTGCAGCTCATAGACGATCATACTTTTGCCACAATTGTGATCGGCGTCGTTGCTCTAAATGCCATTATAATCCCCATACTAGAGGTTATATACAAGCCCCTGCAGGAAAATTTAGATTTGCCTGCCGCATTTAGACAAAGCAACAGGTCCCTTAGGATGACTTCGATTGTCGGAGAATTACGATTCATTACATGCATTCAAGAGGAAGACAATGTCCCCAGCATCATTAGCCTCCTCGCAGCGATGCACCCAGAAGATGTCAGCGCAGACCCAGAAGATGTCAGCCCTTTCTGCGCCTATGTCATCCACCTTGTTGCGGTCCCTAGCCATAGTGTTCCGACATTAGCCCCTTACAAGAACCACTTGAGGAAGTTCAACCAGCCGAGTGGATCCGATAACATCGTTCGAGCTTTCCTCAACTATGCCGATCATTCGCAGGGTTTGGTCCAAATTCAGCCCTTTCGAATGATTTCGCCCTATAAGTACATGCATGAATCCATTTGCCGGCTTAGCGAGACGATACACGCACCTCTTATTATAGTGCCGTTTTTCAATTCCCAACAAGGACACGACACCGATGGTAGCTTGAGGATTTTCAATACCAACATCCAAGCCATTGTGAAATGCACCGTGGGGCTTCTGGTCGACCGAGGGTTGATCAGCCCTATTAGTTTAACTACCTTCTCTTACAACATGGCCGTGATCTTCATCGGCGGGATTGATGACCGCGAGGCATTGGCTTTGGCAACTCGCGCTTCACGACAGCCAAACGTTAGAATTACGGTGTTGAGGATTGTCATGATAGGCAAACATAATACGTTGGAGGATCAAATAGAGAGAGAGGGAGACAACACACTCTTTGGAGACTTCAAGGCTATGAACGTCGACAATGGTTGTGTCACTTGTCTTGAGGTGGTAGCACATGACATTGAAGATGCGATGAAAGCATTTCGGTCTTTATCAAATACCTATGACCTTGTCGTTGTGGGAAAACGACATACCATCCCGGAACTAGAAGCATTGTTGGGTTGGGCACAATATCCGGAACTTGGGGTTGTCGGTGACACATTGGCTGCACCGGATTTCGCCGCCGGAAGGATGTCGGTATTAGTGTTACAACATCATGGTGGTGCAAGCCAACGGGAATCCCAGCCTTGTAGTTAAATTTCTTGTTTAGTAGGAGATACGTTATATTTGATATTTGGACAAATTAGATGGTAGGGCCCTATACTATTGGTTTTTTGAACAAACAGGTCTCTCTCTTGTAAAAATGAGCAATTTAAAATCTTCTTTTATTTAGTTTAATTATCGGTATCCGATTTATTAGTTGATTAATTCAAATCGAATATTACAAAGATTTATTACGATGAATACTTTTTATTTAATTTTAAAGCAAGGCAGTTACACCCAAATTGACTAATACTGGATATTTTCTTTCTTTTTAATCTTTCCTCTTTTAGTTATAACCACGTAATGGAAAAAATACAAACAGTGTATGATCCGAAAAGCTTTAATGAAAACAGAGCAATGCAGTATGATGACTACAGCTACTCCCCCATTTTCTGGGGAAAATAACAATGATTTTTGTTTTGCTAAGAAAATGACAATGAAGATAATTGATTACTAGTAAGGGTCCGTTTGTTTCCGAAAAATGTTTTTCGTAAAATGAATTATATATTTTTAAAAACATTTTTTGAAAAATGTTTTACGATGTTTGGAAGATGTTGTTTAAACATTTTTTTCACTAATTGATGAATTTTTAAAAATTATTTATTACAAATATTAAATACAATAAATAATATTATTTATCATAAAACTTAATATTATTATTTTTAAAATATTTAAATAATTTATTTATTATTAAAATATTATTTTTATAATTTTATTAATAAAAATATTAATATCGGATAAATCATTTATTGAAATAAAAATATTATAAATTATATTAATTATTTATTAATGTAATAGTGTTATATTATAATTTAAAAATATTAATTAGTATATTTTAAATATCTCTATTAAAATATTATTAGATTCTTATATTAATATTAAATATATAAATAATATTATTCATTATTAATAATTTAATAATATTATTTCTATGAAATTAATAAATAATATAAATTTTATTAATAATTTATTATATATTATTAAAATAAAAATATAATATCTTATATTATTATAATATAACTGATTATTTATTATAATATTAAAAATATTATATTATATTATTAGAAATATTAATAAATATATTTTAAATATTTTAATAATTAATATTTTGATTAAAATGATATTAAAATATTTTATTAATATTAAATTCATAAAATAAATTTATTTTGAGAATTTATTCTTTGAAGTGAAAAGTTCAGAAAATCAGTCGTAAGTCTTTTTCCAGAAAACACAAAGGAAATCATGTTGATAAGGAAAATATTTTACATTGATCAACTAGTTTTCCTCTAACCAAACACCGGAAAATGAGAAAAAAAATTTCTGACTTAAATTATTGTTATGTTTCTCTGATGATGGATCCCCTAACATATAGGCAAATCCGGCGGCGGTGCTTGGAGTGTCTGTAGTTCGCCGACTCCGTTCTCCACAAGGAAAGCCATGGCTAGGCCCCATGTGATGTGAACATCCAAGTGACAGTGCATTATCCACACACCCGGATTATCAGCAACGAATCTAATGACTGCCCATCCATTCACTGGCACTGCAGCCGTGTTCCGGAGTGGTGGATCGACGAGATTGAATTTGGAAGTATCGGTCTTGCGATCGAAATTTCCGAAACCTTCGGCAATGATGTAGAAATCGTATCCGTGGAGATGAATGGGGTGGTTCTCGGGTGTGACGATGCTCGTGTCTTGTAACACAATTTGTACACTTGACCCATACTTGAGTTTGTAGAGCTTGGTTCCTGGAACAGGTTGGTAGAGCGATTGGCTTACGTTTCCGGTGTAATCAAACTGCAAAGGTGGGGTTCCGGGGAAATCGGTGGTGAATACTCCTGGAATGCCTTGTTGGTATGCTTGCAATAGAGAGAAGCTTTGTGGGAACACGAATGAGACATTGTTCATGCTGGCAGTGAAACGAGTACCATTGGGTCCTTGACAACGACTCGAAGGGAAATTTGGTGGGCAGCTATTGAGTCCGAGACCAACTGTGAAGAAGAGATTATCGTCAATATCGGTCGGGACTTGGGCTTTTCGGAGACTTCGAAAACTTTGGCTGAACGCCGTGACGGTGTTGGTGTCATTGTAGCCAGGCAGAGGAGGCATGATTGGTTTGGGTGCATTGATGCCTTTTTTGGCAGGGCAAGGCGCAGATTTGTATTCAATAATGGCAGTGGTGGTAGTGTTGTCAAAGGCTGTGTTCTGGGCGCTTTGGTATGCACGAGCAGCCATATAGTATCGAGCTGGTAGCTGGTCACCTTTGATCAGAACATCGGTGGTTTGGCCAGGGCCTAACATGATGACCGAAGTGGTGAAGGGCTTAGTGTAGGAAGCATCAGCACCGACAACAGTGAGTTTATGGTTGGCAACGGTGAAGAAAAGGGGTTGGTTCAGGGCGGCATTGATCACTCTGAGGAGGTTTGTTTCGCCAATGTCGATCGGAACTATCGTAATATCTTGGGAGGAGCATTTGTAGAGATCACCTGGTTGACCATTGATGGTATACGCATCCGAGATATTCGGAGCCGCCCCCGTCCTCGTCGCTTCCCTCACAACATCGATGGGGTCCGCATTCCACCATTCACCGAGCATGATAGTTGTTTCCCGCTTCGGCTTAGGGAAAGGGTAGGCTTGACCTTCTCTAGGACGGATTATGAGAGCTCCATAAACAGTGGCCCTAAGCCATGAGCTATGAGCATGCCACCACAATGTTCCTTCTTGTCCTTGAATAGTGAACCTGTAGGTGTAACTCCCTCCTGGTCTAATTGGACACTGAGTTACGAATTCCGGTCCATCGGCCCATCCGGTCCTCATTTGCCTCACACCATGCCTGTATATAAAACGGAAGTGTTTATGATAATTCAAAATGCATGCATGCATGCATGTACGATTAAGAATGGAGTAGTTAATTACCAGTGGATGGTGGCATTATATCGGGCTTTGTTGACAACTTGGATTTCGAGGGTGTCGCCATTCCTGACCTCCAGGGTAGGTCCAGGCAACATGCCATTCACAGTGATGCTGTTCTGTGTCTTGCACAACCTCTTCACTGCTGTTTCTTGGATCTGTTTCATTCATAATAAACTGTCACTTCTTTTCTTAAACCCTAAACCCAAAGAACAACAACAAATAAACAACGCGTACGACAAATCGATGTCTTTGAACTTGTGGATGTGCTAAGGACAATGCTGCAGAACAAACGACAAGGAAAACCATGGAAAAGCATTGATTCTTAAATGTCTCCATAGATATAAAGCTTTTGCCTTTTGTTTCAATGGCAAAAATTAGAGAACGTGTGTGTTTGAATGGGCGAGAGAGAAAAGGGTTTATATAGGGAAGATGAGTTGGTTTGAGGTTGGAGGGGGTTAGGTTTCTTGATTCAACAATTTGCAGCCAAAACAAAGCTCGAGTTCAATTCAACCCTGTCGTAGGAGTTGTTGCACCCACTGGTTTTTCTTCAATCTTTATTATCAGGTCTTGTAGCCCAAGCCATTTAACATTTTTTTAATTACAAAGCAAAAGTAATTAACATGCGAAAAGAACTATAATCCTCTCCAAAACCATATTATCTAAATCAAATGTAAAACATTTAAAATTATCGCATAAATAATTTAAATTTGATACATTAAAAAATAGGCACTATCATTGAATTTTATAAGGTTTTCTATATCCAGATTCAAGTTAATACTTAATGTACAAGGTGATGACGAATGGCTAAACAGACAAAAAGACCTGTATTTTGAGGATTTAATTAGGATGTTTTGAAGTTTGAAGATTAATTTAAAATATATGATAGTTTAGGGATATTTTATTGTAATTTACCCTCAATAGTGATTTTGATGGAGTTTAACTATTGTTTTTTCTTAATCATAAAAAAGATACTTGGAAGGAAGACAAAAAATGTGCTTATATTATCATTGTAATGTACGTAATGTACCATGTTTCATATGTTTGATGAACTAAAATTCAAAGTTCCTCCTTCTCTTAAATTGTGCTCAAACCTTATGATTTAAACCCTTCTTCTTAGGTAATTGTAAAATAATTGGGAAGAACTAATTAAACTGGATTGTCTTCGTAAATAGAGTTAATTTTGTTAATCGTCTTTAAATTGTGATTTTCTATTTTAATTTAGTCTCTAAATTTTTAAATATTCTAATTTCATCCTCAAATTATGACTAATTCTATTTTTATTTATTTCTGATGAATGAATCTTTGTATTGCAAACTCAAAAGCAAACAGACACAAAACAAATAAGAGACCGTTAGAGGGAATTCTCTAGACTCCTGCCTATACAGGTCTCCCTTTTAACATTAGCATTTCCCCTACTGAAGCCCCCATCCCTTAACCTGAATAGAACAACTTTCTTGATCCGAGACGCAAAATCAAAGGCAAAGTTTTCCACGTTATGAAACAACTTGTAACTCCTCCCCCTCCAAATTAGGAAATCAACTCATTCCAAACCAGCATAAATGACCATAGACAACAACGACCTCCTCCTTCGACCACATCATGCCCACGTTAGCTCTGAGTTGTAGCACACCATCCTTTTATTCAATTGATATAGCCGCAAAATACTCCTCCATAGCTGCTTAGAAAATTCACACTGAAAAAATCACATGGTCCCGAGTCTCCAACTGATTGCCGCAAAGGACGCAAAGATCATCCACCTGCATCCCATGCTCCAACAGCCTACTCTTGGTGGGAAGCCTCTCTAGCACGACCCTCCAAGCGATAATCGAGTTTTTAGGAAATGTGACCTGGGTGCCACACCAACCTCTCCCAAACGACTTTATCCCTTTTAGGCTTTATTTCCTCCCAAATACGGGAAACCGAGGAGTCCCCTAGCAACCTCGTAATGGACAATTCATGCTCTCTAGCATGCAATAAGGTCCTCTACACAACTGATTAATCTGTTTAATAATCTAGCCCAATAATTTTGCATACTAAATATGATAGATTGAATGAGTTGGAGCCTTCTCGCATAGGAAAGCAGCC